AAACAACGAGGTGATTGCTGTCATTTTCAGCAAAGACTTAAACCAAACGTTTGTTCAGCGCTTCTCTAAAAGATGTCGCTGAGTTCGGGAAGCATAATAACTTCTTTCAAACGCCAGTAAAAACTGTTTAATCTAGCTAATAATGTGAAATACTATTATTTCATTTGTATCTGAATAAAATTATTTAGTCCACTGTAAATTACTGTGTAAACGAATTGATATTGAAGATGTCGCCATCTACTTGTAAATTAGTCAATCACTTACAGAGAATTTGAACACCTGTGATTAAAAAATATTTAATGTATATCATAAAGCCCAAAAGATGGCGTGCTGGCTCTTATCTGACCCCCCTCTTAACAAAACAGGTAGTTGTTTAGTTGGATGGATGCCATTTTAGAATATGAATCGTTTTTCTACCGAAGAAGGGACCACAAGTCACACAACTCGAGATAATCGGGCTTTGTTGAAAGAAAAGTTTCCAGGACGAGTAATTTTGAGATTGGCTGATGTGAATTGACCAACACGGTCCTGTGATCTAACACCGTTGGAGTTCTTCTTGTGAAAGATCGTGTTTATGCCAATAACCTTCTAACGATTGACGCGTTGAAAAACAATATTCGTCAAGTTATGACCGGGATATGCCTGAAATGTGCCAAAAAGTTGCCAAAATTACCTCAACAGGATTGAGTCCTGCAGGAGGTCCCGTGGAGGATATTTAAATGATATTATAATTCACACAAAATGGCAATAACCACACTTTATAATGCCATAAAAACTTTATCGCAATCTCAATCTTTAGTGTCTTTTTTTCTAATTTATTTTATCAAGGTGAACTTGGATAACCCTATATATCTTTCCGCCACTTAAACATCAATGCTCGTAAACCTCTACATAAGGAAGCTTTTGAAATTTCCACATTGTCAAAATTTAGCAAATTTGTTTGGAGTGAAACTAATGTGACATGTTCTGCTGTGGAAGAATTTAGTTTTTTTTGTCAAATTTATGGAGTTAAATCAGGTTTATTTTAAATACCTATAGCAAACATTGCGTATATTCTATTTCTAATGGTATGCTTGTGAACCCTGTAAAGAGGGCGTCCACGAGATCTCTGAATTGCAGCTGTTGTGGATGCCTTATGATCCATATCACTCCTGATCGCATGCGCTTTGATCTTTTTAACAGTGGTAATTCTAATTCCCAGGGTATCAGATACTGTCTACACAAGTCGAAGAAATAAAGTCATACATTAAACTTTTATAGGAATACAGATACCGAATTAAAAAAAAACTCACCTCTAAAACACACTTAAATGGTAACAGGGGGTTTCCTGCCTCTCGCTTCTTTGTAAAGTAGAAAATAAGGTTTTTTTGCTCACCTTCTGAATATCGTCGAGGCATTTTACACAATAATAGGCAAGTGGAATTAAAACGTGACTCGCCTTTTGACAAAATCGATTTTTCTGACAAATTTCACAGCAAATTTCAATATAAATAACTTCTGGTTTTAAGAACCGACGAACGTTTTTGACGTCATTAATTTGTTTCAGTCAATTTTCATTCGTTAAACAAGGACGGCAAATGCTGGTGGCAAGTACAAACCCTGGTGAAACAAACTTTACATATTTATTTCCTTCTTTGTAGGTCCAAGTTATTGGATACTGTCAAAATATAATAAAAAAAAAATAATAAATTGTAATGTGTTTGAAAACTAATTGGAGTTTTCACTAGTATTCATTAGGTATATACATTTGAAGTGAGGTAAGTATTGTTATCAGCATCGGTTATAAATTTATTAATATGCTCATATTCCAAAATTTGTGATTTCTTCGGTTCGTAGCCTTCCGAGCACCGTCCTAATAAAGCTTGCAATTTCATGTACTGAGCGATATCTTTATTTTAAATTTGATTAAAAAATCTCTAGCGCGTTTATGAGATGTTTGTAACTGGTATCTAACCTCTTGATAATATGCGTCCACATTACACAGGGGGTCAATTTTGTCGTTTTTTGTCAAGTCATCTGGTAAGTTTGTATTTCGACCGAAAACTAGTTCAAAAGGTGTATAGTCGTGATAAGCGCTAGGGGTTGTGTTGTAACAAAAACTGTAGTATTTTACCCATTCGTCCCAGTCATTGGGATTCTGATTGAAATACATTCTAACGAACTCATTCAGTACTTTGTGGTTTCTCTCACAGCCTCCAATGCTTTGGTGATGATATGCTGTGGAGAATCTATGGTTGATTTTATTAGTGGAGGATCCGAATAGAAAAGGATCTGCACCCATCTGTTTCATGGGTAAAACTATTTTATATCAAAGTTAGTATGATAAAAAAAATATCACGCGTGGGTTGGCTAAAAAATTCCTGGCCAGACTATTATTAATAAATAATTCAAAAATTATAATTGTAAAAGGCATTTCACTCATTTGTTTAATGAACAAATACCATCCGCACCAAAATTTCGCTTTTCAAATCGTCATTCAGGCCAGATTTTTCGCAGACAACCCTATATCATCGTGTTCGCAATAAAATAACTTTTTTTGTGATATAAGATTTATTCATTAAACAGATGGGTGTGAATTACTAGTATCGACTCACCTGTTCAAACCTGCCAACCCAATAGTTATGCCAGGAAAAAAATAGACAACCCAACGTTTCTATATTGTTTAGGCCCTATACTTTCGATTAGTATGAAATTTGTTCGTTAAACAAATTAGTGGAATTTTTTAGCCAACCCACACGTTATATTTTTTTTATCATACTAACTTTGATATAAAATAGTTTTTACCCATTAAACAGATGGGTGCAGATCCTTTCCTATTCGGATCTTAGACTATAAGGAGTACAGAGAGTTGTCCTAGTACTTCATTTTTGTATTCTGTTCCCATATCTGTTCTTATTTCTTGCATTGGGCCAAAAATTAAAATAAATTTATCGATAATCCCCTTAGCGATGGTATGCGCTTCCTATTGGGGACAGGTATTATAGTAACGTACTTAGTGAGTTCGCATTGTATTGTAACAGCGTAGGCATTTTGCTTTATAGTTTTTGGAAACGGTCCTATGGTATCAATGCAAGTAATGTCGAATGGTTTCTGTGGTGTAGGTGTTATGACCATTGGCTCGACGTGTTTTATTTTACTCTTGTTTAATTGGCATTTCTTGCAGCTTTTTACATAATTTGCTACATCTTTAGACATTTTCTTCCACCGATATTTTGTTCTTATCTTTTTTAACAATTTTTCCTGTCCACAATGGCCTCCTAAAAGTGGATGGTCGTGGTATTGCTTCATAATTGCCAGTTTTTCTGTCTTATTTGTGATAATTTGAGGATCCCCATGTAAAATTATAGTTACATTGTTCAATATCTCTTGTCCTGTTTGTTTAAAATCGTTAGTCGTGCATATTGCAAAAATTGAGTCTTTATTTTTTAATTTCAATTTTCTTAAATTATTTTCCCCAGCCACAGTATCAAGCTTAGACAAAATTTTCGCTAGAGAAAAATTGTCATTAGTGAAAATATTTTAAATTCAGGGCTGATTTGACTCTTTTTTCCCATGATTACACGAATGTAATTGGGCTTAACTTCGAATTTCAAATACGGCGTATTTATAATTGTTGAGTTATCGCTTGTTTCGATAATTTTTGGACAATTTTCCGTTGTATTCTTTGTAATGTTTGATACAGTTTTATCACACTGTATATTTTTTGTCAGAGAACCGGTTATCGCTAGAATTTGCCTTGAAAATTTTGGAATCTCTTTTAGTTCTTCTATGTTGATTCTGGATAAAGCGTCTACTCCTACGTTATCTTTTCCTTCAATGTATTCAATTTCAAAGTCATACTCCTCTGGATCCAATCGCATGCGCGTTAACTTTGAGGAAGGATTATTCATTGCGAAAAGATACACTAATGGTCGATGATCTGACTTCACTAAAAATTTTTGTCCGAAAAGATAGGGTCTAAAATATTGAATTCCCCAGTGGATTGCAGCTAGTTCTTTTTCTATTGTGGCTTATTAATTTCACCTTTGGTAAAAGATCTGGATGCATATGCAATAGGCATATCGGTTCCATCAAATTCCTGTGATAATATAGCACCACAATGTTCTTTTAGTAGTATAAGACGCGGGATACTGGGACACCTACCCCCTTGTCAACTACCCCTAACCCAAGGGGCACTACCTACTACCCTAACCCCAAGGGGCACTACTTACCACCCTCACCAATCCTCCCCTCACCTTATTTTAAAAGTTTATTTTTTTACCTTCCATTTTTTTTTTTCACCTGTCGGTGTCACCTGAAACTTGTCACATCACTCACCTGTGTGATGAATTAAAATGGAATAAAATGAAAAAAAGTCTTGTGTCTGTGTGTGGAATCGAACCGTTGACCAGTCGCACCAAACCAAGAGCGTTAACCACGAGACCACAATAGAACTTGTTTGTAAGTATCAAAATGTTTGGTGCCATGATCACAGACTTGTAAAATTTGAAAGAAAAAAAAGTCTTGTGTCTGTGTGTGGAATCGAACCGTTGACCAGTCGGACCACTGGCTCAAGAACCAAGAGCATTAACCACCAGACCACGGATAGATCTTGTTTGTAAGTATCAAAATGTTTGGTAGTATGATCAGACTTGTAAAATTTGAAATGAAAAAATTACTTTAAATTGAATAGGTACCTATTAGGCTGGCCTAACCTAATCTAATGTTGTGCACATTGGTCTCGTTGAATTTTGTTTAAATTCTTATAGCCTAGCCTCGCCTAGCCCAGTTGATATTTTTGTTGTTTTATGTAGTAAGACACATTTGTAAAAAATTAATGCTTTTAATAAACTCAAATTACATTTATGACCTAGGCATTTTCTCGTTGCAATACAGATTTGGAGGTGACAAAGAGGATGACCATGGTACTGATTCCATAATTGTATGATGACTTATTGACTTTTTACAGAAACAAAAATACATTTCGCATCTTTGGCACCACCTTGTAGAGAGAACACTACTTGAATAGTTTTTAAATCTTTTATTGGTATTTTGAACATTCTTGTATTGATTGAAATAAATCTTGTTGTAGTTAGTTTCATCTTGAATGCGACTCCAATATTTTCTTGTAGCCGCATCATAATTTTCCGCCTTGGACATATCTTCATGCATTTTCATATGGCCCTCCTCATCCCATGGTTGGCTTTGATAATTGTAGAAGCATTTGTTGGCATGATATGTAACTATTGATTTTCTCAGTTCTTCAAACTTTCTCTTGTTTGGAATATCGCAGCTGCTGTGCAACTAGAAAAGAAAATATTGGAATTGAGAAAAATTAATAAACAAAACCAAACTGAAAGTTTTATACCACATGTGTTGTGTCAAAGTGATCTTTTCGGATTCGTATTAGTCTGCAACGTCTATTATTGGCAACAGTAGGATATTTAAATCGAGCATAGTCTCTAAACACAGACTCCCAATTTTTTAGAAAATTGACAGGCTGAAATAATATGTAAAAAAAAAAATATGATAATTGTATTGATAGATTTAGGCATAACTTACGTGAGATTAATCCACAACCTCACATAAAAGAAAGTAGACCATTTTTTTAAAACACAAAAAGAAGAAGAAAGTTAATCATTGTAGCCCCACGGAATTGTAACAGTGTATACATAGTTAACAATTCGTTTGTCGACAAAGGGACTTAATGCTGTTTTGATTTGTTCCATTGTAAAGACTTCGTGTTTTTTCGATCTTATAAAATTTTGTGGAACCTCAATAATTTTGTTATGGAAAAGACTTTGATAATAATCATCGAATGAAATGAGTTTTAATGAAGATGACTGAACACCCTTGGCTTTTTTAATAACAATATCACGATTACCTGTAGAAGAAGAAGATGAAGCAGAAGACACCTTGCTGTCATCTTGTATTTTTATACAATACAAACCAATAAATTCAGTCATAATTTTTCCATTATTCTCATCCTTCATTAAACCGTAAACTTTTTTATTTTTTTGTGGAATATTGTACACGTTATCATGAGCAAATTCTGACGTATCAAACATGTTGATATTTTCTCGAATGCAAGAATAGATGTCTACATCTGTAAATTGATAAATCAAACTATCAGTGTCGGTGTACAATAACTTTGCATTAGATTTAAATTTTTCCTTAATAAAATTGTAATGGAAATTATACAAAATAGTTTTCGATATATCCAAAATGGACATACCAACATAAATGGGCTTATTAAATTTTATATTTAATCTATCCATGTCAATTATCACCATGTCTTCACCAAAAATTTCACAGCTGTTAAAATTGGGCTGCGAAATATAATAATTTGCGCCAAATTTACCCCCCCATTTAGTTACCAACTTAACGTCTTTATACTTTCTCACATTTTCTATGGTCTTACCATACGGTGCGTTATTCATTAGCTTGTAGAAGTTTTTTTCAAATTCATTGTTGCTTAGTTTTCGTAGTTCTGTATTCAAGTCAATATATTTTTTCAACCAAGGTGATTGACTGAATTTCAAACACCTATGAATTTTTTTAATTTTAAGACCCAACTTCAAAACTAACTGCAACATTTTGTAATGAATAACGTACTTTTTCTTATTGTATAGTGTTGTTAGAAGCTTTGGAAGTGTAGACGCTGAAGTTGGTGGAACTAAATGTTCGGGACAAAGCGGCAAATCCATGTGAAGATCATATAACTCTTTGGGATAATCCATGTCTACCTCGAAAATATAACCAGTATCACTGTCCTCGGGTATATCAAAAATGTTGTTTTCTTGATAAATGTCTTCAATCCACTCAAAGTTACCTGTAGGTAGAGGATAGCTCATGGCTGCTCCATACAGGTTGACAACGTCAAAATACATCAGATAGGTGGATGGTTCGTTAGGATCGTGTTCATTCATATATTTATTGTTAGCTTTTCCATATCTGTTCGAACATTGTGAAATTCCTCCTCTTATCCCTTTTTCAGTGAACAAAATCATGTCAACATCTGTTAGAAGATCTAATTTCACATCAGTGATTTTCAGCATACTGTCAAAGGCTAAGCCGGGAGCAGTATAATAATGTAATGGATCCAACTGATACGTGTCCGAACAAACTTTACGAAATTTCTCAAACACATCGACAAGAAGCAAGACGTCAGTTTTCAAATACAGTTCAGCATATTCTTGAATTGATTTGATATTGAAAGTGTCCCATACGTTACAGGCATGTTTATATTCATCTTGTGAAACAGTCGAGTTGGTGAGGTGACTAAAAAATTGCTCTATTGGTGGCAAACTGTTGGCTTGTAACTTATCCAAACAGTCAATATATTCATAAGGAAATACACCTTTCCTTGTAACCAACTTAAACCGTGTTTCATCAGAGTAATACTGCCTAGTAACTGGTTTTTGCTTGTCGTCAAGATAGGACGCTAATTTTTCCAATTTACTAGCCATAAATCGAAATGAATCTATAAACCTAAAGCTGATATTGGTGCTTTCGATATATTTTGTGAAAGAAATGTACTTTTCCTTATTGAGAGGAAGTAGCTGAATTTTTCCCTTAATTTCTGAACAAAGAGACCTTATAATGAAATGGCTGTCATATCCTGAAAGGTTATGAAAGACCACAGGTGTCACGTGATTGTTATTGTCGTGGTATTTTAGGTTACAGGAATTATGGGCAGCTGATCTAAAGTTCCCTGTTAAATGACAGTGGTCTCTTACTTTATAATCATTTATGGAAAACGGCTTACAGCAAATATGACAAAGTGTCGCTTTAGCATACTGCTCTTTTTCTTCTCTATTTAAGGGTTTCATTGGCACAGGATTTGAATATATTGACTGTATTTTGTTCGCAATTCTACCAAGTTCTCTAACAAACCATTGTGGACAATTTTCCCCTGTGTGCAGTTTAAATTCTGATAACGAGTCATCATAATTACATTTTAGATAGTATGCAATACTGAATGGTTCATGCTTTTGATATTTTTTCGATTTAGCTGTAGAGTTTTTATCATTATATTTCACTAGCATACTTTCCAAATCGGCATAAATGACAAAAGGTACTGGTAATTTATTTGCAAAATTTTTGAAAGTTAAAACTTGTTCATGTTCTTTTGGTAAAGTGAGTTTGCATTTGTTCAAAAGTGTACAATCCTTTAAATGATTTTTAAGCACATTTTCAGTGTAGAAATGATTGAGACATCGCTCACAGATCCATTTTTTGTTATGAATATTATAAAGCTGTTTATTCAAAAGACCGTTCAAATTTTTAATGCAAGCAAAATGGAAAATCCTTTGTGGAGGGTCCTCAAAATAATCGGGTGCATCAATTTCTGGTTCATTGTTACAAGGTACAATTAGTAAATGAATTTTTTGCGTATAATGTTCCATTTTGCTCAGCATTAATGGTGAAATTTCTCGTTTTTTTATACAAAAAACATTAATGGCCAAGTTGTTCATAGATTCAAACTTTGGAATGTCCCTCAGTGCTATCGGAAATGAAATATTCCCATATTTCAATTTTGATAAAAAAGGTTTATAGGTTGAAGCACGTGAAACATTTTTGTTGATTGGTGTTTGAACCAGTGCACACAAAACAGACCAAATAAAACAATAGACATCACGATTTTTGATATTTACAACACATTTAGTGTCTTTAATGAATTTTGGTAAATCGACATAGGTGGATAAACCCACACTAATTGGATTGTACGAGTTAATGTTGACTTTGATAAACCAAATTTCATACAGGGCCCAACCACTGTCTCTTTCTTGAAATTCCTCCAATTGTACTAAAATTTTATCCATCACATTTTCCCTGAACCAAACAGTTAAATTTGTATTGTTATCAATAACAGAATTTCTAGTTGAAAAATGTTTCTCAGACTTTTCCAAGGTTTTTGGTTTTATGAATAAACCTGTAAAAACAACATTTACTTTAAGCAAAGAATTTTTCAGTTCCTTTTTAATTCGTAAAGAGAAGACCCGAAATGTTCGTTTTAAAAATTCTTGAGGTTCTTTAAATTTCAAATTATTAATAATTCCAGTTTTGATTCGCCCATTGAAACAAGAATCCAAATCCTGCCAAACTAATTTTCTTTTATTTAAACTTTTATTAGTTTTGGAATTAAATTTATACATTTGTAAGTAGTAATTTAAAATAGCCAAATTAGATTCAACTTTATGGTAACTATGTATACTGGATTTATTTTTCAAAGCACTACTAATAAGTTTGATGTTTTTTTTAAGTAAACGAGTGTGAATTTTGAAATCTTGTTGTGTTTTAAGTAGTCTACTTACGATTTTGGTTTTTTTCACAGCCTCACTGCTCAAACTATCTAGTGTTTGTCTGCTAGATGATGGAGGTGATGACGACAACGACGATGACGATGACGATGAAGAGAAAGACATTTTTGTTTTTTTTTGTTTAATTATTTAATTTTTAGCTGTTGCTGCTGCGGACTACACTGACTTAATTCCCTACAAAATGGTTCAATATATACAAATTTCTTATCAATTCAATTTACATCATCATTCAGCAAAAGGATAAATTTGTTGCAATCATTTTTGTTTAATGCTGATGCAGATGTTTTTGGAAACTAACAGTAAAATTTAGGAAAAAAAAAATAATGGAAAGTTATTGATGATGTTTACAATAATTGGATGCTTGTGGCATGCAAGATTGTGTTGGAAAACTGTTTTTTCCAATTTTTTATTTCAATCAGACCTAATAGTTTTAGATTATTGGGATTGAGTAAAAGCTCTTTTTGTCTCTGCCTATATTTGATTTTCCTACTCTCGCTAGCATAAGAGGTCTGAATAAATTCTGTTTCATTGAAGCTTATTGTACGGAAACTGTGATTGAATATGAATAATGAATTTTTACAAATGTCCAAATCGAATCTGTCCAATGTATCGACAATAAGTTCTTCGAATGAAAGAAAATTTTGACATTCGAGAAATACAAAATTGAAAACTGTGTCATCAGTCTTGACATAGTAAGAATACAAAATATTGTACATTCCGAAAGGACTTGATTGATAATAGTTTCCTCTAGTTGTTGTTGAATCGAAAATTCTATCGCTTTTCAGAATTTCCAATATCGGCTTTTGAAAATTTTCACAATGCCAGATATTTTCTTTTTCATAATTATCTATTTCAATGTAAATATCGATGTCTCCATATTTATTGGTTTTACCTAGTAAATATGAAACAAAACCTCCTGCAGAAAAACATCTTAATCTATAACCTATCTCTAATAATAACTTATATAAAATGTTTAAAATTGAATCCAAATTTTCATTCAACGGAAAATCGATTTTTTCTACAAACGTGTTAAAAATGCAATTTTTAACACCCCCTCGAAGCATTAAAAATGTTACTTTATTGCACTAGTGTTAAAAGTCTTTAAGGCACTAGTGTTAAAAATGAAACATCAAAATTTGAAAGCAAACGTCAAAAAAAGTTTGTATTTTTAATTATTTACATTAATATTAATGGTAAAATTTGAACAACTGAGGAAGCTCCATTGGCCGCCTCCTCTATATTTTTCAAGGGATTGATGCAACCCTCTTTTTCTTGTGTATTTTGTTGCATTTTTAGCAAAAAGCTTACTGACCACGACAGACTTTCAAGAAACTGACAAGACATTTCATTACCTGTAAAACAAGGTGCTGGTTGTTTGAATTTTTTGACAAATATCAAATTCAATAATTTTACGTAGGAAAGATGCTTCCAATTTATTATTCATTTAAAAATCCAATTTGTCACTGTTTATTGCGTGTTATTGCCGTTTGTAGAAAAAATATTGTATGATATTTGTGTTAAAAGTATTTTTAAGGCACTATTGTGAATTGCAGAATTCGCTTCGCTCATTCTGCAAACTTTCACATGCGTGCCTTAAAAATGTACTTTTAACACTTATATCATAAATAACTATTTTTTGCGTTGAAAAGTAACGTTTCACTTAAATAATGGTAAGCGGCAATATTTGTTGATGGAGCTCTACACAGAAAAGAAAATTACAAGTTGGACTTATTATAAAGGAAAAAAAATTTACCTTATAAATTTGGAAGGATTGACGGTAGGGCTTTTGATTTCAGCCATGATTTTCTTCGGTAAACTTTTTTTTTCTTCACAAAATTGAAACAGTTGAGTTTTTGTTTTTTCAACTCGCAAACGAATAATAAAATAATGAATTCTAATCTTGAATTTATACATAAAAAATATTTGGCTTGTGCAGAAATTATACATTGTATTAATTAAGTTGTTTTGCGTGATAATAGAAACGAAATTATTCCAAAATTCAAAGTTATCGATAACAAATGAATCCCTTACTTGGCAAAATTTCAACAGATTACTTTGTTGTGTTCCTATGCGAATCTTAAATTGATAAACAAAAAATACTTGACTTGTGCAGAAATTATACATTGTAATAAAGTTATTTGGTTGTAATAATGATAGAAACGAAATTTTCCATACAATTGAGAGTTAGCAACTCAGCAAAATGATACATTACATTATACTAGATTGACGTCAATCAATTTATTACTTTATCAAAAATTAGGAATACTTTTTTCGTTCAAATTAGTATTTAGATTGAGGATCAGTTCATGGTGTTACAGTTAATCCAGTTCTTCTTTTTCTTCGACACTAAGATTCAACTAGCAAACAAAAAAAAATGGCAAATGTACCATGTACTCTGGTCGTGATGATGGGTGACAAAATTAATTTTCCAAATAGTGATGTTTTGGTTGTAATGAGAGAGATGTTTCAGTGAGTATTTTTTTTTTTATATCAATATTTTATTTATTTTCTTTCAAATTTAAAATTGTACCTTGGCTTTTTTTTTTCTTCAGATACGGTGTTAAGGAAATTGTTGAGCGGGACGGTAAGGTCTATGTCCACTTAACCTACTCGCCCAAAGCTATAACCCTGAAGCGGAAATTTGGCAATCTGCCTCTACGTTATATGAGGACAAAAATAAAGAACGAGGCAGATTTCAAAATTCTGGAGAAGGTCGTGAAGCGGTATCGTTTCAATCTCTTAGATGAAGAACCCAACGAGGTGGCTGCTATTGTACAGCAAAGTAGTGGCGTTGGTAGCAGCTCGAAGAGGAAGCTGAATATGGAAGAGATATACTTGTCCTCGTCAGATGAGGACGATGCTGCTGCTGCTGCTAGTGTCAAAGAGAAAAACAACAACACGAAGAGAGCCAAGACAGAGGAGGTATTATCTTTATTATCCGAGGCGGCTGCAACTATGGACCAACCTGGAACTAGCAGCAGCAGCAGCAATAGTCATCAGTGAGTACATGCCTACCCAGTTATTGTTGTAAAAAAAAAAATAAAAGACTGAAAATATGTTTTAATGTATTTTATTCACAAACCAATTATTCAATAGAAAAACATTTTCTCTGGTACAAAATAGATTATTGATAGAATGTGTATTACAATGTAGTGAATTTGGAAACAATACAGTTTTTAACTTTTTGAAATTTGGACATCCCAAGCTATCCATATCGACTATATGATTATTTATCAAATTACAGAGCCACACTTTTTTGTTGAAACCTTTGACAAAAACAGTGTTATTTTGAACGATTTCTTGTATAAAATTTGTGATATTTTCCAAAGGTAGAAAACTAAAATTAAAACTGTCCCAATCCAGTCCGTGCAGGTTTTGGGTATTCCACTGAACTTGACGTCTGAAGTTTTCATTGAGCCATTTACTTGGAATTGGTAAATTTATAAAATGATGGTATAGCTGACCAGTTGCCTTATTTAAGATTGCAATTTCCTTGCAAACGAAATCACTGTCTTTGAACTGGAAACCTTGTACGTCTAAGATGAACATTTTCTTTTTTCTTTATTCACTTTCGCTAGAGTTAAAGTACACGCACTGTACTGGTCAAGGGATTGTATTTCACTAGTCGATCGTGGAGAATCAAACAGTAAGCTGTGGTGTTTGCTTGAACCGCTTTTTTCGTTTCGAATTCTACACGAATATCAACAGCACCACCTTTTAGAATGTCTTCACCTTGCCGAGAGCAATCAATGACTACTAGAGGAGCATCTTGTTTGAAATTTATAGGATAGAAGCATGGTTCACTTTGCTCACGATAATAGTAGGATTTTTGGAATTGTGCATACATTTCATATAAGATTGCAAAATGATTGGAGTCAAAGTCCAGGTTGAGGTTATCGTAGGGATAAACTTCTGAGTTTAAATAGACTTTTAAATTTGTCAAGGTTATGTGATCAAATCTGCTCATGTTTTTCGATGCAACATTTTTTCTATTTGTTTGGAATCCAATAATGATGAAACGTGGTTTTTCCAACTGATTGGTGGACTTAACAGCCCATGTATGATTTGTTGTACTTTGTAGTTGTGGATATTCGTGCAATTCCCAGCTTCTAAATGCAATATTTAGGTCCAAATTTTTCTCAAAAAACTTATAAAGACGTAATTTTTGATCATCAGACACTCTAACATGTGGCATTTTCCATAAAATTTTACTTAGCGTCACTTTGTATGTTTCTTTTTTATCTTCTTGTTCAATGAGAGCATTGACGTCAGAATTACTTCTTATCAATACAAGTTCCTGTCGCACATTCAAAATAATCTTATGATGATCCTCAAAAAATCCCATTAAAATTTTCAGAGGTATACATGCATTGAAATTTCCGTTTCCATCCAAAAGTGCTGGATTTGATTTGGCATCCCAACCAGCATTTACCAAAACATTATTTTCGCTTTCCTTGAATGAAACATAACCTTTTATTGTCGACGTAATTCCAGGGTTTCTTACACGATCAACAATAACGCCTCCCAATTCATAGCGAATTTCATCAAATAAGTGGGCCAATCCATTGTTAATAAAGCTTACATTGTTGCTGAACGTTACGTTATCAGACAATAAAAGTTTACCTTCAATATACAAAAAACTTTGGCTGGGTAATGTATAAACATCCTGTGTCTGTATTGGAATTCGGATTTCATCATTGTTATTGAATGTTGATGATGTGTAGGGTTGATGTGTGTGCAATTGATAACTTACAATTGAATTATCATATATGACACTTTCGCTTACTTTCAGAATATTACGACTCATTTTCTTCTTCTTTTTCAAATTCTTCAGTACACTTGAAATTACATCTAATAGATAGAATAATTCTTCTTATGCTACAACCCACTCGTAGTTTAATGTTGACCCAAAATTGTATAAATCTCTTTTTTATCGAAATGATGACACTACTGCACTTTTAACTTGAAGCCTAACGAAATCAAAAAGTTTTTATTTTGCACTGTTAACCGTTTGACTGATTTTCCATCACTGAAGCGATTTTCCTTTAGTGACTTATTTTTAAAGGCTTTTTGTGTTCTGGACTCGTTGGACGTTGTTGTTGTTG